CGCGTCGAGGCGAGTTTCGCCTGAATCTCCACCAGCTCCTCTCGCGCCGCATCAACGGCGTCGCGCGCCACGCGGTACTTGTGCGTGGATGCCTTGAGCAGCTTTGAGTCGCCCGGCACAGCAGAGCCGTTCTGGTGCGGGCCCTGCGGCGCCGCCTGCGCCATGCGTAGCTCCTCGATCTTCGCCTTGATCTTGTTGTTCTCGATGCGCATGATCTCGATTTCCTGCTCCTGGCGGCCGCAGTCGCGGCGGAAGCGGTCCTCCATCTCGCGCAGCTGCAGCTCCGCCTGCACGTGGCGCCGCCGCAGCGACTCTACCACCGTCGCACCGGTGCTGCGAGGCGGCGGCAACGCGGCGGCGGCCTTCTTCGTTGTCGGAGAGCCGGCAGCCCTGCTGCTGCTGCGCTCCTCCATGGTGCAGGACACTGCCGACNAAAAAAAATAAACAAAGAAGTGAAAAAGAAAGAATGAACAGAATGCGAAGGTCTTTTCGGCAGGCGTACGCCTTCACTGTCTGTTGTGCACACACGCAGTGTGTCTGGCTGCGAGCGGCGTGGGGACAGCGCGTTGGGAAAGAGTGAAATCCCTGATCCAGCAGTCAGGCAGTCAGGAGAACTATACAACGAGGCTGAGGCGCAGAAACGGCAACAACAACGACATGTCACCAGCACAAAGAAAAGCAAAAGCAAACTACATAACCCTTTGCACCAACCGTGTTGATAGAGGCAGCAAGCAAATAATAATAATAATAGTAATAAAAGATATGCGCTAAGCGTGCGGTGCGCCGGCAAAGAGTTGCTCTATCTGGTTGACCTCGAGGCGCAGCATGGCCGTCTCCCGCTGCTGGGCTTCGTACAATGCAAGCAGACTCCGGAGACGGCGGCGCAGCTCACTGTTGCTACTCTGGTAGTAGAGAGCCTCCTTCGCCAAAAGGCTGAGCTGCTCCTCCCGCGCTGCCACTGTTCCATCCACGCCGCCCAACCCGTCTCTGCCGCCGTTGTCACCACTCGTTGGCCGCTCTGCCGCTGGCACTGACGCCACCGCCTCGCTGTACCTATTGAAAGCAAGTGTCGTCTTCACATAATCTTTCTGCTGCTGCTGGTGTTGTTGTTGTTGTTTCAACTCATTTCCCCTGCCCATCGCCCTTTCCCCATCACCCCAGACAGCACCGTGTGGTGGGGGGATCTTCTGCTGCCCCGTGGCATCGCGGTCACCCTGCTGGGGTTGTATGCCGCGTAGTTGCAGGGAATCCTGGACGTAATTCGGGTTGGGCGGTAGGGTCTCTGTGCTCCACCACTGTCGTTGCTGCTGCGGCTGGCATTGGTGTCCTTCTTGATTATTTTGCCGCTGTTCCTGCCTCTGACGCCATCCATCCATGTTCAATTCCATGACCTCGCAGCCCGAGGTGGCAGGGCGGCCCTCAAGAAATGCCACTCGCCGCCTCAGCAACTCATTATCCTCCAACAAGAGCCGCATGTCCTTGATCTGTTGCGCGAACACCTTCTTGTCATTCCGAAGCTCCTGGTGGCACCTTTGAACCTGGTCCTGTAGCGCTGCTACCTGTTGTCGCAGATCCGCCACTTCAAAGCTGTCGTCACAAGTAACACCTTCGACGCAACGGCTTCCGTTGCTATGATCGGCAGCTGCAGCCGCAGCAGCAGCAGCCGTCGCCGCTACCTCCTCGTCAAACTGCGGGAGTGGCTCGTTCAATATGTGCATAGCAAGTGCACTGTACTGGAGAGTGCGCGTCGCCTCATCGCTATTTTCCAAATCGGCCGCAACACATGCGATAAGCAGTGTGCTGCTGTTGCCGCCGAGAGAGTCCTGCAGAAGACGTGTGAGCTTGCTGCTGCGGTACGGCACGTGGCGTGGGTTGTCGGGGCACTGAAAATGGTTGCGGCTAAGTGCGCGGATGACGTTTCCGAGCGCCAGCAGCCCGCCATTGATGGCAATGCTCTCACGAAACCGCTGCCCCACGTTTTGCGTCTTCTTGTTCCGCTCCGACCCTGCGAGGTCGACGAGATTCAGCTTCGAGCCCCGCTCGTGGTTGAATATCGTGAAGATGCTGTGGCTGCGCGAGGAGTGCTCGTTGATGTTCGTCGCGCCCGTCGTGCGCATGCGGGCGGCGTGGTCGATGATGTCCCGCACCTCCTCTGTGCTGCGCGCCTTCACGCGCGCGGCGCCCACCACCACCACCGCGCCGCTGCTGC